CTTTTGCCACTGTAAATGTGATCATATCTTTTGGTAATATTTACTAAATTTTGTGTTTTGCAATCTTTATGTTTGTATCTCATTTATGTTTGGATTAACTATATTGTATTAGGATTTAGTTTTGAGGGTTTAAGGGGATTTTAGGGGTCAAATAATTTTTTTATGGTTTATAATTTTAAGATTTAGGTTTTAAAAATCCATAATTAGTGGCATTTTTGCAAATGGACACACCAAAATTGGCATTTTTGCAATTGCCCATTATATTTTTGGTATTGTTTACTAAATTTTGCCACCATAAATTTATTTGTTGATTTCTTGCAAATTTATTATTGGAAACCATAATGTTATGTTTAATTTTGATAATTTTGTGATAAGTAAGTTATTTGGTGACTATTTAGGATATACTAAATTTGAAAAAAAATTCTTTTTACAAAAACTATGATTAATGTTTTGCAAACTATTTTTAATTTATGTATTATGTAATCATATGAAGTGTTTTGAAATTTTTAGTGACAAATAAAGATCTAACAAAACTATGATGATCACATTTCGAACATCGAAGAAGAACATTTGACCATACAAGCCATCCCTAAACAAGTTCTTTAATCCACTAGACCATACACAAGACAAGATTGAGTCTCTTCAAAGCTCTAGCTTGCTAATCTTAGTTACCAAACCAAGTTCTATAATCCATTACACTAAACATGGTCCTTTCTGCAACTAGAAATCTCCATTTTGGAGAAGATTTGTAATAATACAACAAATAATAACTTGTATTGCTGCTCAATTTTGTAAAATTCAGGAGCTAGTTCTCGACAAACCTCACACCAATGCATAGAACTCTACCACTGTTGGTTTCCCATTCGACAAAGCCTAAACAATCATCAACCAAACATTCATTAAAAACCAAACCTTTGAGATCAAAAAACACAAATGAAGAATCCCAATATAAACACCTCCTCGTAAGGCAAGGCCGATGCGATTAAATCCATCACAAAAATCCCAAAATCGAGCCTTGTCGATAGAAACAAGGTTAAAGCTGCAATTACAGAAGCAGCCGCTAGTCTTCTATTTCCTTATTGTGTGATTCAGTAAACCCAGAAGACGAAGAAGCTTGATATGATTCCCTTGGAGCTATCATCTACTACCAATTTATCCTGAATCAGGAAAAAAGTTAGACCTAGTTTTGACCAATTTCAAAAAGATTGAAATTTTTATCTGAGTTTCGGAAGATTTTGGGTTTGTTTGGCAACGAACCGAACGAAATCAAGGAGGTGCTACAGTTTGGGTAAGGAAGAAAGACTGATGGAAGGAGGTTTGAGATTGAATCTGTGAGGACGAACAGTCTAATTTCGAGGATTGAGATTGAATCCATGATTAGATAGAAGACGGTTTAAAGAAAAGACTGAGCGAGCCATCGTCAAAAGAAAGAGATGATTATAACCAAACCAAACTAAACCACGAATGAATAACTAAATGTTTAAATAATGATGTATTGTTTATCCATGGGAAGGGC